ATTTGGCCTAGTAAACCGTGGCAACGCATTCACATTGATTTTGCGGGACCTTTTATGGAAAAGATGTTTCTTGTTATTGTCTGTGCTTACTCTAAGTGGCCAGAAGTCTTTGCTCTACATGATATTACTGCTGCTGGGACCATTCAGGCCTTAAGAAAGTGTTTTGCTGCATATGGTATTTCTGAGCAAATTGTATCAGATAATGGTCCACAATTTATCTCTGAGGAGTTTTCAGATTTTGCTAAAGGTAATAAACAGGCTATGAAGACTAGAGCTGATGATAAAATACCATGTAATTTGAAACTAACTAGTTTTCTATTGACGTATCGCTCTACCACTCATGCTACTACTGGTCACAGTCCAGCATCTATATTTCTTGGAAGATCCATTCGTACCCGTTGGGATTTATTGAAACTTGATATTGGAAGAAGGGTAGATAGTAAGCAGGCAGATCAGGTTGCTCACCATGACCATCATTCTAAACATAGATACTTTGAGATTGGAGATACTGTGTTAGCAAAGAATTTTAGGCCAGGAGCACAATGGGTTAAAGGAAAGATTATCAAACAGTTAGCCCCTTTAACTTTCCAAGTTAAGGTCTTCATTGCAGGCGCCATATTGATCATCTGAAGCATCTACCAAGTGCTCCATTCATTCGACATGGTCTGGATGACAATGCTAATGAAGAGGAAGATGCTCCTCAAGTTACAACTGAATCTACCACAAATAATGAGGCTAACACCACGCCTTATTTGGACAATCATAGGCCTACTCCTACTAGTATTCCTCCCACTAATCCTAATCGGTCCGAGCGTCGTTATCCTGTGAGAAATCGTAGACCTCCTGACAGGTACTATTAACTAGTTTCTAACTAAGTGTGGGGGAATATAGTGTAATGAATGTATTATTCTTATTATTGTATTATTGTAATTATTCTAATGTTTATGTTATGTGGTTACTGTGAATAGCAATAAGGTCATATGTGTTATTATTTATTTGCCATTATTATTATGTGTATTGTTTAGCTGGCTCTTTTGTTATATAGTTTTTGTAGCACATGCTCCGCATGCACTCTCTATTTCATTCTATCGTTCTTTCTGTTGTCTCTCCCTCTCTATCCCTTGTTCTCGAGTTTTAACCAAATGAAGAGTATTAAAAAGATATCACAGATATGCATCTCATATTTCAATGAAAGTCGTAGAAAAGGCAAGACAAAATGATATTCATTTGCTGTGTTTGCCCTCATGATGTTCTCATGTACTCCTGCCATTTCTATGATTTCTTCTCTCAAGTTGTGGAGGAACCTATAGTTTTAAGAAGTGAAAAGATGATAGACACTAGTCGAAGGACTCAGCTAAATACACTTCTGTATTCATAGCTATGGAGAGGGCCTCCTGAAAGCAAACTTTAGAAAGGAATTGCCAGTGGTAAGAATGTTTCTATAATAAAATGATGTAAAGAATGGGGTGGGTAAAAACGGGACTGGGATGGGACAGGGAAACAGTGGTTAAAAGCAGGACAGCGACGGGGAAAAACAATACAAAAGCAGGACAGGGAAAAGGAATGGTGTCCGAGAAGGTGAATAAGTCAATTGACCCAAGGCCCCTATGCAGGTATTTTCCCCACCAGGGTAACACAATTTTGGGCTGGTACAATAATTATCAGGTGGGTGACAATTTTTTAACAATTGCCACACCTTATTGATTATTTCATAATTGGGTTGAGCATGAAGACCCACTCTAATCTGTATAGGTCCATTTTGCATTACATCTTGTTTGTGAACAGAAGATAACAATTTATATATCAGTATACTACTAATAATTTTGGACCATGTGGACAAAATTAATTTTGAGGGTGTGGTGACAATAAATAAGATGGCATCTCAAACGGCCACATACTGGATGAGCAGTCTGTAGCTAGTGAAGAAAAAGAGGCTATCTAAAGCATCCAAAAGGCAAAAGAACTTAATGCAGTTCAATCTTAGACTTCTCTAGATTAGTCTTTCTTTGAAAGAATTGAGGTTGTAACAATAAACTACCAACTTTAGATCTCTCTCTGGAACCCTGAAATCAAAAGTCTATAAAACTTTATGCAGCAACTTAGAGCTAAATCTTGATTCATCCCTCTCTTTTACTATTCCTTTTAAGTGTCCATGTCAAAGGTTTTATAATTACGTAATTAGAATTTTTCTCTCTCTTTACTATAATTTTACTTCAAACTTTCCTTCACTCTCTTTCCTTTTTCTCAAACTATATTTATGTTTATTAGTATTGTTAAGATTGTAAAAAAAGATCAGAATTTCAAAGTATAGCTTAGTTTCTTTGACATTTTAGAGTGACATGACATTCCTATCTCTTTTACTGGGTTATTTTGGCTGTTACTTTGTGTGCTTTCTCCCTGGCCATCAAAGCAGGGTCTGATTATGCATGTTGGCAAAGTGCTGCATTTCTTTTATTTATTTTAATTTTATGAAACAATGTGATTTGATGGCTCATGATCGCCCCTTTAATGTTTACAGTCACACTAGTTATATTGGTTAATAACGAGGAAAGTGAGTCATTGAGTGATCTCATTATATTTTTACCATTTACAGGTGTTATTAGGTAGAATCCGCAATGTGAAAATTGAAGTTCAACAAAACCAAGACTTACTTATATCAATGTGTTGTACTTCTTATCCTGATTATAAATCTGCAAGAACTTTCTATAGCAAATCATCTGTTAAGCAGAAAATTACATTAGTTTCAAAAATTTGGGCACAGTTTCATAAGGGTTAATCTAAAATTCTACTCTTGGCTATGCGAAAGGCGTGCGTATTCTGGCCAACTGCGTAGGGCTTTGAGAGGGTCTATACATTGTTGTAAGTCACAATACGTAAGTGCCAAGCGGATAGCTTTGTATTTACTACAGTGTTAATATTAGTGGGTGTTCGTGGTATCATGGCTTGGTGTCTTGTCATGATTGTATCTCCACGTAGCTATAGCAAGGATGATTCCTCATATTGTTTTAGATATAGGGGTGTTTAAATATTACAGGGATATACTTATAAAAAAATAGAAACTGTCTAGCCATCAAAGTGAATCAGCGATAATTTCAGTGTCATAGACACTTCTATATGGCTTGTTTTTCCTGGCTTCAAGGCTTGACATGTAATGATTGAAACATTGTTTTTAGGAATTGTAAGTGCTAGTTATGGCTACAGCTCCTAAGAAGACAAAACCATGCGAAAGTCACAAGGTATGCAATAATTTACGAGTTTAATGAATTACTATGTAGAATGCAAGCTAATGGGATCTGTAGCTCTGGAGTATGGAGCAAAGGGCTGGGTACCCCCAACTAGAAATAATGGCATCAATGTGCAAGCTGGTATACTAATTTATTGATTAATTAATTACTATTACAATGAAATTTACCACAAAACCTGAAGCATACCATCCATTATTACAGTATAAGACAAAAAGTTCACGATTTACGCAACAAAACGTTTTGTGAAACAAGTCTCTGCATTTTATTTCTTCACCGTTTTGTTTATACACTGGAAAAACGATGTTTCAACAAAACTCTGATGTAAGTATGCATCATAATCATTGGGCATGGCCCATATTGTATTTCAACTCTTTGGGCTTGAAAGCACCATCTATTCAGGAGATGATGAAAGGTCTTTTAACAACTAGAAGGGCATTCACAAGTTCCGAACGAAATTTGAAGAGACAGCTCTCTTATTCAATGTCCTGGTTCAGGTAGGCATTCACAAATCACTAGTGATATAAAGATGTCCTGGTTCAGGTAGGCTTTCACAAATCACTAGTGATATTAAGATGTCCTGGTTCAGGGTCGGCCTTCACAAATCACTAGTGATATTAAACTGCTTGTTGATAATCAAATGAAGGAAGATGATGACACTACTGCCCATCAGTTGTATCAATTATTAACAAGTAAAGGACACTCCATTTCAATGAGGACAGTACTATGTTGCTAAACTCAGTTAGGCCGGACCTTTAGAGGCAGTGCCTACTGTCAGTTGATTAGAGAGGCTAACAAGGATAAGAGGCTAGTTTTTGCTATTGAATATTAACATAATCTCTTTGAGGACGCATGATTTACACTGATGAGTGTACGGTACAACTTGAATCCCACTGTTGTTTTTGCTGTCGTAAAAAAGGCGAGCCAGTAGGTCTCAAACCCATGTAGGTGCTGTTTGTTTCTGAACACTTCAAATGCAATCGGAGTAATTTTTGGTGTGTATCTTCATGTATTGTGATTTTTAGCAATTTACTATTTTAGCAAAAATTACTTTTTGAACTACTATAATTCCTTTTCTTCCGTACAGTATTGTCATTAATTATGTAGGCCTCCACTAAGGTTCATGTGTAGGCCAGTATTAGCAAGAGGGGCATCACCATTATTTGTATTTTTGAAGGAATAATGGATAAGCTTCTGTACATTGATATTCCGAGACAGACATTGCTTCCATTTATCCAAAAAAAGTATCCTGATGGTCACAGATTTATGGCTGATAATGATCCCAAACATACTTCTAAGCTAGTACTGTCTTTTCTTGAACAGAATAATGTTAATTGGTGGAGAACTCCTACTAAGTGGCCAGATGTGAATCCTATAGAGAACCTCTGGCATGAATTGAAAGTAAGGAGTAGAGAATTTGCTTTGCTATAATCTGACAAAAACGTCGATACATTATTCTAGGAGTTTATATGACATGAAGTAAAGCCTAAAACGAAAGAGCTAACCACAGGTATCAAAACCTTTTGGCGAACATTAACAGTAGCAAAGTGTAACAAGTACATCAATCATCATAAAAATTAGTTCCCAAGATGATGCAGATGCAAGGATCAGCTACTGGATATTAATTCTTATTCCTGTAGGTAATGCAGTTTTATTTTGTGTGTAGTCATATTATATCTTTCCATTCTCATTCCCTTTCACGCTTACAGCTTTTACCATGTATTAATAATTATTATTTAGACCTGTCCAGTCTATTATTATTATTATTGCTATCACTACTACTATTATAATTGTATTTTTAAACAAAGTTGTCTGCTATTGTGTCTTGGTTCTGAATTGATATTATTTTACACACTCCCCTTTTTCTCACTCTTTTCTATTGTTTACTGTTATAGAATGTTAACTGTGCCTGGGCCCATATCGATGAGAGACAAGAGTATAATAATTATACTATTAAGATAACATAGTTACTTTTTGCTTTATCAAAATTTTAAATAAATATTACCTATATATTTTAATTGTAAAGTCATAATAATTTATGCATGCCAATAGTCACTCAAGCTGTTTCATACACATACATGTACAAGAATAGAAATTACAATTAGTTATTACGCAGTCGTTTGCACAATTGTCCAATTAATGTGACACATTGACTCCATGTCACGCTTTTAAATTCTGCAAGATTAGACCAGTACTTAGGAAATAGATCAAAGACAACCTGTTTCATGTCATTTAGCTCCTTCAGTGGCAAAGCTGGGATATCCCTACAACCCATGACAGTGCATTTCTTCAAAACTTCATCTGCAAAAAACTCTCCTTTGCAAATTTCACAGCTAACTTTCCTATTACAGCTTTCCTATGTAAATGTGAATTTTTCCTGACAACAATATCATACAGTTCTAAGTTTTCTTTATTGATTTCAATACTGGCTAGGGATAGTTGCTGGTCCTTCCTCAGCTTTCCTTTAATAGGGAAACATTTGGGAACTTGTTGAAGATACTGAGCAGGTGCATATGAATGTGTCACAGGAGATGAAATAGGAGAAGGAAGAGGAGGTGGTTCATCTTCACCATCAATTAGGGGCAATCTTGTGTAATGCTGTTGAAAGACAGGACTTT